GGTATTTCTCTTCCTGCACAGACTTTGGGTATACAAGTGAACTTGACTTCATGACAGGATATCAATTACTACAAGGATTTAAAAACATCACTTGTTTTGTTTTGTTTTGCTTTCCTCCAGTGTTGTGCTATTTGCTGTTCATGGGGTTTTCTTTACCAATGAGTGGAGATTACATCAGTGCTGCTAATTTACCATTTACGTGGTACTTTATGCAGTTACCCAGTGAGTTTTCTAATGGCATAAAATTACAACTATTTGTGCTTTTACATTACAATACTATAGGGATTAATATGATTTGGAGTTGTCTTTTTTATACTAAGTCTCTAATATGTAACTTTAAAATAAGCTTATTTCTTTTTTAATGACATTTATTCAGTAGGGTGTGGGACAAATGAAAAATATGGATACCTGCAGAGTGACCTGTGTAAGGAAGGCAACAAGGCCATCATCATGCCCACAGCCGATACCCAAAGAGGGCTTTACATTTTCACATCTCTTTCTATTTGTCTTCATCTGTTTTTTTAAAAAGTTTTTCATTGATTGAATGGGAAAAAAACCAAACAGCCTTTTAATGTAGGAGACCGGAGTGTACTGTGCTCAGACCTTCAGCATCCCTTGACCTGAGATGATAGATATGTGCCCAACACCTGGCCACATGTGACTACATGATTCTCAGAAAGAGACTCTGTCTCTTCATTTAGCCCACAAGCCAGATGCGAGAACAGAAATCACAATGTAAATACTCTTATAAAATATAGAAAATACAGAACACCAATCAATGCTAGGACATTAGTTTTTCTTTTTCCTTTAGTGCTTCAGTGTCCTATAATTTTAGAGACTAAACAAGCGATTTTTCGGACGGAAGTGATGGAAAGCATATCATCCTTTGCGCTCTACATGTTGTATGATAGATACAGCACTCTGTAATATCTCTGTTGGGCGAACACACAGCTGATTTTGAGGTGATTATACTGTTTCATACCTTAACATTCAGTAGAGTTGGCTCAGTTTTGCTTTCACTTCTCTGTGAGTTTTTGTCAGAAAGCTGAAGGACAACGTTGAGCAAATTCCCTCCGTAGAGGGTAAGATCTCTGTTTTTATTTATTTATTTTTCTAAATGGGTTGATACACAGTAGTTAAGTTCCTGGGTAATGAGTGGGTTGAAAATTAAAGTATACTTTATCATGTAGATACACTATTTTGAAAATGTGTTTTCTAAATATAATTCTGATTCAGGTTCTAAATGATATCATTTAATTTGCCCTTAAATTCATAATACACTTGAATACTAAATGATTTCTAAGCATTTCTTTCTAGATCTTTTCAATAACACAGTGACATTTAATAATGTTGGTGGTGGTGGAGAGTGGACATCTCAAACCATTCTCAGAATTCTAAATTACCAGAGTCTCATTATTATTCAGATCCTTGGAAGAACATCTACTGAACATTTATGCAATACTCCATTTGGATCTAAGTTGTCTTTTCTAGAATTTGTCTTTTGAATATAGAATCAAGTGATTATAAATAATAAAACTGGCCCAGAAAAAAATAAAAAATAAAACTGATCTAGAACAGCTAGGCTTTACTGAATGACACTTAACTTGTGCCTTTCCAAAATACTTCTGCCAAATTGGTCACAGATTGAAAAAAATTTATAATTGAAGCAGTTAAGAAGTTTATCTGCTATGGCTATCTACAATGTAAGTGCTTTAAGCATTCAGGATCTCAACTTGGATGCATTCTCTAAATGTGAAGTAGTATTCAGATAGATAGGAAAAGAAGAAGAAATGTGACTGGGGATAGCCAGTAACTCTAGTGCCTGCTTAGCATCTGCAAGGCTCAGTATTCAGTGTTCCATCACCAGCATTTGCACACACACAAAATCCTCTGCATGTGTAATACTTTTTAAATTTATAAGTATGTGCTTAATGTTTGCTAGGATACTATGTCACCCACATTATACAGAGTAGGAAAGCAGTATTATAGGCAATATTTAAATTCCTTGCTTTAAGGCCACAGATAAACATCAGTAACATAACAGAATAAATATGCTGGCAGAGTGATAGAGTTATGCATCCATAATGATAAGCAAACGTGGTACAGTGTATACATATGAATGGATGAGAATGCATATGTACAAATATGCAACTTATAATCACTGGCTGTGTTTGATCTATCACTAATTATCCTCCATGTTCTTCAGTATCAAATCATCAGTCTCCTCTTATAAGTGTAGTAACTTGACTACATTATCTATAAAGCATTTACACCTAAAGTATCTTCAAAAGACTAGTGAGTTGTAGCAGAAATAATGGGTGCAACTGTGACAAAGTCCCAAAAGACTTGGAAATACTTGGCATGAAACAGTTTTTCAAATGTATAGAAGGGACTTTTGACATTAAAGTACATTTTTCTGGGAATCATTGATTTTGAAATGAGTTAACACATCTAAGATATCACAGAGACATTTCTGGAGCTAATTATTGGTGTAGCTGATTATTAAAATTAGAATCTAGTTTGTAGCTGGGCACATGTCTGTTATCCCAGCACTCAGAAAGCAGAAGCAAGAGAGGGTAGTGAGTTTAAGGCCAGCCTGAGCTACACAGAGGCCCCAGGACTCAGGGGCTGGAAGGTAGCTCAGGGGAGAGAGCTGTGCAAGACCCTAGTTTCATTCCAATGTAGGTTTTCAAGTTTCTACATACTGTCCACTTACTTTGTCTACAGAACAGGCAGCTCGACAACTGAATTCTGGGAGATTCCGGGGTCATACATCTGTTTTTTTTCTTTTTCTTTTCAGATGTTTTAGGTATAACTATTTTGAATGTAGACATCTAAAACAATTGTATGTTGAGCAAATTTTGTTTCTCTGGATAAAATGAAGTGAAGCATTTAGAAAGACAGGGAGTAACAGTTACTGTAGAACTTAATTCTGTAAACAGTTACATTGGAAAAAATACAATATTTCCTTTATGTATATGGGTGGACACAGCATGAAAATGTTAGAATCTATACATAGTGTAATTATGGGATAAAAATAAACGTTAGTCTCAAAAAGGTTATCATCTGAGGCGTTTGTATCACTAATACCTAAGAAGAGAGAATATGTCTTTAATTCAACATTCTTCAAAAGTTAATACTAGTACTTATGAACGATGTAGGTTATCAAAAATTCAACCCAATGACTTTTGTCTATTTTTGAAAAAAGAATTTTCTATCACTGAAATGCATTATTATTATTCTAGGTTAGAAAGGTATATAAAATTTCAAATTTTATTTTAAAACTTCTACTTATCAATATATGCATGTGAATATATTTCACATATACATTCTTACAAATATATTTGATTGTTTAGCCACTACCTTTTCACTTATGATATAAGCATATTAAGATTCTTTATATTTTGTGCCCTTATGGCTTATAAAATGTACTTAATAATTTGCATATAAGTGAAAAGCTTAGGACTGTGAGATTGATTCCTTGTGTTTAGCTGAACAATAAGTTTGCAGAACTCAAAGTATGTCTAAGTATTGAATAGGGTGGAGAGTACACTTTTGGAAATCTGCCAAATATAGGCCCCTTTCTTCAAAGTCTATGAATATTTTTCAGCTTCCTTCCAAACAAAATGGTGTAGAAGCAGCTAGTGTATTGTTTAGGAAACTCCATTTGAGTAAATTCCTAGGTGATTCTTAACACGGCATTGTAAATGGCAAAGCTTGAGTGCTTTGCACTTCATTATTCCCTATCCAGAAGGCATTAGCTGCCACTAGGCCATTCCCATGCTTCATCCCCGTTTCCTCCTGTCTTCTCCCTTTGAGTGGACGCGGCCTAAGGAGGGGAGAAGAGCTCAGTGTCTGGAGTTTTGAAACCAAAAAGTCAGTTAAGCGTTTCTGTTTTTTGTTTTTTTTTTGGGGGGGGGGGGTTCTGCTACCGCTCTTCACCCCTCCGCAGGGTCCCGGGGACCAGTTTCACGGGGGGGGGGGGGGGCTGTCACTCCTTTCCAGCGCCGGCCCCGCGCCCTCCCCGCAGCTTCCCTCCCCTCGGCCTGTCCTACCCAGGCCCAGGTGGGAAGGCCGGGTCCCCCCCCCCCTCAGGCCGCCCTCTAAGACTTGCATTTCACAAAGATGCCGAAGAAGACCTCCCAAAGCGTGCCGTGCTGCCACAGGACACAGACCCTTCTCCCACAGGGCGACCCAACGAGAACGGATCTGCGCCGCCGCCTCAGGGGTGTCGGGGTGGGCGTGGGACCTTCCCAGGTCGCCCCAGAGGAGGGGCGCGCGAGCACACACACAGGTACACTCACACATGCACACACTCACGCACTCACACACTCACGCTCACACGCGCTCACACGCGCGCACACTCACACGCCCCTCCGCGGGCCGCCCGGCCCTCCCTTGCCAGGAGCTCGCACCAGCCAGGCCCAGCCGCCGTCCCTGGGGCTCCTGGTCTTCTTTGGGGAGAGGCGGGGGGGGGGGGGACGCACGTGTCCCCGGTGGGTGCTGTGCGTGTGTAAGCGCGTGTGTAAGCGCGTGTGTAAGCGCGTGTGGCCCGGCCGCTGCAGGGTCTCCGGGCTGACCTCGGCCTGGGCGCCGCAGCGAGGCCGCCCCGCGCCCCGCAGACTCGCGTCCACGCGGGCCCCGGCCGCGGCGCGGGCTCCGAGCCCCCCTGCAGAAGCCCGGGCCCGGCGTCGCGGTGGGCGGAAGCCCCGGCCGCGGCCTCTGTCCGTGGTGCTGAACCGCGGCGCGGGCCCAGCCGGGCCCGGGGCGCTCCGGCGTGGGGCCGGGAGGCGCCGCCCCGCGGCACCCGGGGGCTCGGGGCCCCCGCGCCGTTCCTCCCCCCGCGGCCCCCACCCCACCCGGCGCCTTCCGCACGGCCTCGCGGGGAGGCCGCGGCCGCAGCCCCGACCCAGAGCGGGGCGAAGCGGGGAACGGCTCGGCCTCGGGGGCCCGAACCGCGGACCCCGAGCGGGGGCCGCGCCCGCCGCCGCGCGACCTACCCCGGGTAGAGGGTCAGCAGGAGCAGCGCCCACGCCGTCATTCTCCGCGCGAGTCCCGGCGTCGGGGGCGGGCGGGCGGAGCGGCCCGCGCCCCGCGCGCCCGGCGGGCTCCCGGCCATCCCCGGGCCGCGCTCCGCGCGCCTCCGACTCGGCGCCCCCCGCCGCCCGCCCGCCCGCCCGGTCCCGGCGCCGCCGCCGCGGCCTCGGGAACTGATTCCGGGGCAGAGCGAAGCCGGAGCCGCCGACGCCGGCCGACCGCGTCCGAGCGCCGGCGGGGCGGAGGGGACCGAGGCGAGGCAGGGGGAGGCGCGGGGAGGACGCTCCGCACACCGGGGAGGGAGGGCGGGGGGAGAGCGCCGCGCACCGGGGAGGGAGGGCGGGGAGGACGCTCCGCACACCGGGGAGGGAGGGCGGGGGGAGAGCGCCGCGCACCGGGGAGGGAGGGCGGGGAGGACGCTCCGCACACCGGGGAGGGAGGGGGAGCGGGGAGGACGCTCCGCACACCGGGGAGGGAGGGCGGGGGGAGAGCGCCGCGCACCGGGGAGGGAGGGCGGGGGGGGGGGGGAGAGCGCGCCGCACACCGGGGAGGGAGGGCGGGGGGAGAGCGCCGCGCACCGGGGAGGGAAGGCGGGGGGGGGAGGGCGGGGAGAGAGAAAGAGAGAGCCGCACAACCACCGGGGAGGGTGGGGGGGGAGAGCGAGCCGCACGCCGGGGAGGGAGGGCGGGGGTAGCGGGGAGAGAGAGCCGCACACCGGGGAGGGAGAGGGGGGAGCGGAGAAACGGCTCGCTCTCTTTATTTGCTTTACCTCCTCCCTCCCTCCCCTCTGTCTGTCTGTCTGTCTGTCTCTGTCTCTCCCTCTCCCCCCCTCAGATGGGTCGGGGGAGGGGGGTGACTGTGTGTGCGCACGCGCGTGCACTTGCGAGCATCAGAAACCACTACAGGCCTTGCGCGATCGAGGGTCGCGCGGGTTGTCCGCGAGGTCAAAGGGGAAGGGGCGCCGGCTGCGCCGGGACGCTGGCGAGCGCGGCGCCCCGCCGGGCGTCGGGACCCAACCCGCGCCCGCAGACGTGAGGGACCGACGGCGGGCGGGCGGCTCGGGCCCACCGGCCGGGGTCCCTGCGTGAGCCCCGGGGCCGGCCCCTCGCCCAGCGGGCCGCAGGAGGCCCACGTGCGGGAGCCAGCCGTCCCTGGGAGACCGCGGGCCCGTGCCCCGGCCCGGCCCGCCCCGCCCGGCCTCGCCCGGCCTCCACCTGCGTGGCCCACGGACCCCAAGCCTCGCGGGCCGCGGGGCCGATGAGGGAGAGCCCCCGCCGCCTTCACCCAGCTGCGCGGCTCGGGTCGGCCAGAAGCCCCGGCGGGGCCGGCCGCCGCCCTCGTGCCTCCCGCGTCTCGTGGGCCACACGCGGGGCCAGCCCGTTCCGCGCCGGCTCCGCTCCAGAAGACGTCGCCCCGGAGCGAGGAAGCCAAGGCCGCGGCCGCAGAGCCACCGCCCGCGCGGACCTTCCGGAAAGCGCCTGGGAGCCATCGCTAGGGATCTCCGTGAGAAGACAGCCGTCCAGCAACCGAGCTGAGCGGAGTCCGGGAGATCCGGGTAGAGGCCGAGGCTACGGCCCAACCCCAGCGCCAACCCAGGACTCGGGAAGGAGCTCCCGGGCCGCGCCGGGCCGGCCGGGCCTCCACCGCCACCCAGACCACCGCGACTCTGCTTCTGGAAAAGAGGACAGGAACTAGGCCAAAACGTGTGTGCGTGCGTGTGTGCCCCGCGAACCGTGGCCGCGTGGCGTGCCAAAGTGAGATGCACACCAAAACCCTAGAATCCTCGAGGAAAGAAAGCAAAAGAAAGTGGAGGCTGAGAGAATGTCACCCACAGAGATGAACCAGAATATCATCGTTACTATCAGAGGAAGCATAAAACTGGGTGTCTATGATGCTGACGTCTCCAATTTGACATGTTTATTCCTTTTCATTTTGGCATCTGAGTTTGGAGTTTACCATACACATGGATATAAAATTATCTATCAGCAAACAAGAGCACAAAGCCTCCCAGAGTTGGAACTAAATGAAATTGCACTTCTCCGGAGGTCAGGTTTCTTGCACATCTTATGAAATGGTTTTAGAGTAATTGATACTACTGAAAGATGAACATAGTAACCCTTAAAGCATAATTAAAACAATATTTTAAAGACATGTCAAAGTCATATCACATTAAAATCTAACACTAAGAAATGATAAATGCAAAGCCAGCAGAAAATACACAACAAGGAAGAAAAATTATGGGACAAGAAATGGCAAATGTCTAAATGGTGGCTGAAAATAGGTGTATAAATAAAGAATATTATCAAAGGATTGTTGTTGTTTTTTTGTTTTGTCAGTTGTGGGCTTGAACTCTGGGCCTGGGCGCTGTCCCTCAGCTCTTCAGCTCAAGGCTAGCACTCTACCTCTTGAGCCACAGCACCACTTCTGGTTTTCTAGTGTTTAATGGAGATGAGTCTCACCGAGTTTCCTGCCCAGGCTGGGTTTGAACTGTGATCCTTAGATCTCAGCCTCCTGAGTAGCTAGGATGACAAGTGTGAGCCACCGGTGCCTGGCTGAAAGGTTTTATTTTTATAATGTTAAAAGAATCAGCTCACCAAGAAGACATACAAGTTTATATGTTTATATAACTGATAATACAGCCTCAAAATATATGGAAGAAATGACAGAATATATGACAGAAAAATCCTTCAAGTACACTTAAGAGATATTAAAGGATGTCCTTTTTTTATATTTGTATAACACTACATTTAGAAGAAGAGTAAAATAATGAGCAGCAACAAATTTAAAATTTCTGAAAGTTCATTGTAATGGATACACTCCAAAATCTATCATAAAATATAAAAGTTGAAGAATTTTGAAAATTGAGAATAATTCTCAGTAATAAATCAATGCTTGCTATGTTTTCTTCAGGGAGTTCTAACCTGATTAATGAATTATTGAGGCCTTCTTGCCTGTCTCTGTCTGTCTGTCTGTCTCTCTCTCTCTCTCACTCTCTCCAGTGTTAGTGATTGAACCTTGGGTCTCATGCACACTTGACAAGTACCTTACCAATGAGATAAACTCCCAGTTCCACCCTAAAGTTTGCAGAATAATTATAATCCTGACTAGGGATGTGAAGCAGAGGATTGAGGAATGCGGCTCAAGTAATGCAGTACTTTCCTAGCAAGATAGACACCATGAGTTCAATCCCTAGTCTTCCAAAAAGAAAAAAAATATGTCTACCTCTTGAAACAAAATAATCCTTTCTAGGCTGTGCATTTAATGTGATTTTTTTCTAGTTTTTCGTTGTTGCTGCTGCTTTTCACATATCTGAGGGAAAATAACAAGCCGACGCATTGAAAGATGACATTTAGAGACATTAGGTTGTACGGCCCAGATACCGTAGACTGTAAATTGTAGAGCCTGGCCTGGAAACAAACTCTTCTTGACCAAGGCTGTGTCCTCAATCACTACTCCATGCCACTGAAAGAAGTTATTTCAGATCATCATCAAGTATAGTAGGGTCCTCTCCCTCTGCCCTCCCCCACACTTTGTGGTGAGTGCTAGACTCTGAAAAAAGCTCCAGGCCCCACACCTCCCTCTGGTCAATTGGAAACAGAGGGAGGTCTGGTTTAGTCAATGCTTATGTAAGTTGAAGTAATAAGATCAAGCAGAGGTTTTTAATGTGATAATTATATTTTAGTAGTTTATGTATTTGCCAGAAATTCTATAAATAGGCTGTAGAAAGATAACTATTAGCAAAAACAGTTCAAATACTTTAATACAGTACTAATGATAATCAAGAGTAATAAGTATTGCATCCTGACTTTCAACCCAAATACTGAAAGGTTAGTGGGATTACATTTTTAACTACTTCATTGTTTTTTTTCTTTTGAAAGTAACTCATGGGGGGTGGGCGTGTCTCTCAAAACTCTAGAATATGCAGGGCACAGAGCTAAGTCCAGGGTCGGATCTTGGTGAGTCATTCTCTTTTCCAGTTGTTAGGGGAGCATTGATTTCTGACATACTTCAGTTCAATGAAGCAGGAGAAATATGCACGAAAATTCTGTAGAGGATTTGTGCTTCCTTGAAGAACAGGTCAAGAAGCCTGTTTTTATCTTCAGACGGTTTCAGGTCTCAGGTGGCCACATAGAAGAGTAGCAGAGGTCAGCTTGCAGTCACCTTGGGAATCCGTATGAGAGCAGGAGTCCAGAGGGAGAAGAGGCTGAGAGCACTTCACCCTCAACTTCCAATTATGCAAGACTGTTTCTCTTTGCTTCTTTGTTCCAAAGGACCGTTCTGTTACTTGCGGCCTGATGCTAGCCTGACACTATGCTTTCAGTGGTAATCTGCAAACAACCAGATATATTAAAATGTTAATTTCCTTTCACCCATCCACCAACATTAGGTTATTCTATCGATATAGCCAGTTTAAAGAAAGCATGCATGCATGCATGTGTATGCACATGATATCCTTTATATATGGGTGTGTACGTATTACTTACATATAATCTACTTGTCTGCCATGCCATATATGTGTGGCAGTGTTACATGTACAAGCAAAATAAAAAAAGAACTGGAAATGATAGAAATCTCCCTTTATAGACATATAGCTAGATAAACAGTTTACTATGGGGCATGATGTGATGTTTAAGATAGATGAACTGGACCTGTAATCCTTCATAAGTGGAATAGTTTCTTTTTGCATGTCAACTATTTGCTCTTGTACTTACTTATCCACAAATTTGAACAGTTCTAAAATCACATTCTTATGCAGGGAAAATAGTGGTAGAGTTTTACAGTGTTTAATTAGAATGTGATCTTAAAGATCATTATCTGTGGTCTTCTTCTTAAGGCATAGAGAAACCCGGTGGTGGAAGGGGCAGGTGGCTTGTCCCAGACCTCACAGCAGCATTCATTTGTATTTTTCCCTGGTGTTCAGAAAGGTGAGATGAAAACAGGAATAACACGGAACCAGCTTTCCACGTTGGGGTGGGGAGGGGGTCATAGCGTAACTTCA